TAATAACTATCTGCCCAACTACTAGCGTTGATATCAGAGATTCGTGAAGTGGTTGATTTTTTTGTGGTTAGTTGAGAAGTCGAAACACATACTGTTTAAACTATGGACAATCAGTTAAAATTGATCTTTCTGAATGGTGACAGTAATTAGAAAACAGCTTGGCATCGCAACCACCATCCATATTGTTGGAAAAGATTCACAAATCACTTGATTACAGAGTCAATTAGGCATCGGGAGACATTCTCCCGGAAATAGCCGAATGGAATAAATCAACACAAATTCAACTATTCATATGAGTCGTCCTATTTCATGAAGGATATTTATTCATGATGTTTTGCACGGTGTACCAATGAAATGTCAGCGTACACATTTAGTTGTAACACCAATGACACGTAGCTATTCAAAAATATAGAATTCAGTTTCAGATGTTAGTTTTCACTTGAAATCATCTTTATCATAAAACAGTTTACGCACAGCATAGATCAACACTTTCTGAAGATAAAATTCGAAATATTTGGATCAGTAAATCAGAAAACTTTGATTATGTGACACAATGCGGTAGTTAGAAATTAAACAAAATGACTGGTATGTAAAAATATTCGTGTACAATCCTGGTCTTGAATGATTTTATACATATTACCATTTAAAAGTCAAATAGTCTATAATGTCAAAGTTCGTATGTGAGTTTTCGTCGTCTGTGATCACTAAATTGGCTTGGAAACAACAATGAATTCATATATAACTGAGTATTGTATTCTGAAGTGAACTGAGTTCAAGTTGATTACCACAGCCATAACAATACGTATTTTTCGCAATTATTAGCTTAGAATTTGAGAAACGATTACTCAAACCGATTTATTCACTTTAGGATTTAATTTTCTAAAAACAAACTTTGATCGATTCCGTTTAACGTTGATGAGTGAATATGGCGTTTTGTTTTTTGGTTGTTTGAATGCAAAGTAAAACGTATGTATCACTGCATTGTAACTGGTTTATTTTGAATCCAAATCTTGGTATATTCATTAAAATGTATAACTATATAAAACTGTACTTACAGACATATATGGACAACGATCAGCATAAGTGTCAGATCCTCCAAACCTACTTAGTTCCGAAGGCACTATATTGGGCAGGCTATCGAAGTGTATATGCTCTGGTTTTAGAGGTAAACTGTGTTCTATCAAATTGCATATTCCGTATGCATTCACATGGGGAATGCAGTGAATAATTGACTTTGTATTAATTATTTTATCACACCAAGGTGATGACGTCCGTTGACTGTAAACAAAAACAAACCAGATAATCAGCTCAATTAAATGAAAGGTGTCAAAATGCAATTCATTAATCGATTCAACAGACTGGTGAACCACGTTATGATTGACCATATACATTGTATCAATATATTTCAATAATTAATGATGAACTAATCTGGCGAGTTGAATAAAAGCAGACCAAAATTCATTTTAGCGAGAACATGCAACCAGTGGAGTTCAACTGTGTCAGTATGAGGCAGTCACTCATCGAAGACAATTGAAGATAATCGCTCAATGTCGTGGGATCGTTTGAAGTTGGGTATGAACACTGCCAGATGCCTGTCCAAAGGTTTGAAGTTTAAGCGTTCGTGAGTAAACGAATGCCTGTGTTTGAGTCCCGTATGAATGATCCTGGATTGCCACTGGTGAGGCGTTTCATAGAAGGACGAAACGGTTGCACAATATCTCCAGGATTTTAAAAGGTGGTTGAACATTGATCGGTTCATTATCTCAATTAAATTCAACAATCCTCACCACCGTACACTTTCATTCAAATATTTGGTAGACACATGATTTAATGACAGTAGATATTTCGGTGAAAATATGTTTACCGTGAATTGTGTTGTCTGTGAAATAAGAAAGTTCGGCACTATTGACCGGTCGTTTCACAAGTGAGTATCAACGGAAATCTATATTCGTTAAAATATCTAGAACGTAATTAAACCGTAATTCAGAGCAAAGATTTCTGACAGATTTTAATTATTTTCTGTTTAGTTATCATTATGTGCACCAGTCATCAAGTTTCGTGACACCGAAGCCGTTTACTATTTACATTTGTTTAAAACATCTAAGAATTTTATGAACTAAGCCGATAACTCGCAATTCCGACTTCAACGACAGAGAAAAGACTACTTCTTATTGTCATTTACTTCGCCCACTAACTAGAGTTTGACATCCACACTTATATAGAATGGCAATTGATACCGACTTAAAAAGATCGTTTTGTGTTGTAGATTATTTCATTTAATACAAGTTATATTCAGTGTTTATCAGTTAATGATAAATATTTTCTAGTTTCTACTATATCCGTTTCTCACCCTTTCTCTTTCTCCTGGTGATCGACTGGATCATGAAGACGTCAACATCTGAAGGGAAACACGGGATACAATGGACATCCAAGATGCAGTTGGATGATCTAGACTTCGCAGACGATGTGGCCCTTCTATCCGAAACGCAACAACAAATGCAGGAGAAGACGACCAGTGTAGCAGCAGCCTCAGCAGCAATAGGTCTCAATATAAACCAAGGGAAAAGCAGGACTCTCCGATACAACACAGAATGCACCAATCCAATCACAATTGACGGAGACGATTTGGAAGATGTAAAAACCTTTACATATTTGGGCAGCATCATTGATGAACAGGGTGGATCTAATGCAGATGTGAAGGCACGGATCGGCAAAGCAAGAGCAGCATATTTACAACTGAGGAACATTTGGAACTCAAAACAACTGTCAACCAACACCAAGGTCAGGATTTTCAATACAAATGTCAGGACAGTTCTACTGTATGGGGCAGAAACCTGGAGAACTACAAAAGCCATCATCCAGAAAATACAGGTGTTTATTAACAATTGTCTACGCAAAATACTTCAGATCCATTGGCCGGACACTAATAGCAACAACGTACTGTGGGAGAGAACAAACCAGATCACAGTGAAGGTAGAAATCAGGAAGAAGCACTGGAAGTGGATAGGACACACATTGAGGAAAGCACCCAACTGCGTCACAAGACAAGCCCTCACATGGAATACTAAAGGTCAAAGGAGAAGAGGAAGACCAATGAACACATTACGCCGAGAAATGGAGATAGACATGAGAAAAATGAACAAGAATTGGATGGAACTAGAAAAGAAGGCCCATGACAGAGTGTGTTGGAGAATGCTGGTCAGCGGCCTATGCTCTATTGGGAGTAACAGGCGTAAGTAAGTAAGTAAGTAAGTACTATATCCGTTGTGATACGATACCACAACTGTTTGCTCAGATTTTACAGCAATTAGACCATATACGCGATTGATACTATCTACACAGAATGACCATATTATACCAGATACCAGATATTCATGCCTAATAAAACAAATAAGAGAGTACACTTAACAATACTTTTTAATAAATGGAATTACGGGTAGTTATACTGGGTCAGTCCGGAATAGAAATCAATAGTAGGAAGGAAATTACAAGTTATTTAGTCAATATAAGTGTCTTTCAGTTCATGCTCAGTGGCCAGTCATATTTACTTTCACGAGCCACATATCAGTCAAGGATATTGTTAAGTTTTAGGGATTTTACTGCCCTAATAACAACTCATGTAAAAATAACTAGGTTACTTATATTTTTTTCAATCATAGATTAATCACACTGATGCATCAACGACCTTGATCTTCCTAATGCTATGTGGTTTAGATAGTTTACTATTTACGAAATAGATCAAATCTGTGTTTACAACCGTATTTTGAATGAAAGGCAGTTATAAAACTTCTATCTAATTAGTATCAGCAAAGTGAAATACAAACAATAAAATTATATGCTTGTGATTGAGATTGACCATAGGTAATTATGTGTGTAATATACCGCGACAGATGATTGATGACAACGATAGTAATTTAAGTATCTGTTTAACAAACCTAGTCAGTCGAAATTCATTTCACACTAGAAAAAGGAAAATGTGGTATATCAATATTTGTCTATATTCTTGCCTTTTAATGAATTCACCACAACTTTTGAAAATAAAATCACATCCTTGACCACGACCCCAATCCCATGGTTTAGCCATAGAAGTATTTACATTATACCATCTGAAAGATGAAGAGTTAATAGATATCATCTTCATCATATTTTATAATAATAATAATCTACTGACCGTTCAAAGAATTCACTGACAGGAATTGTCGATTAACTCCTAACAATCAATAATCTTAATTGGTTCAAATTATAAGGTTAAATAATGCAGTGAACGGATCAAACTGGTATAACAATCAAACGAAATCAGGTTGGTCAGCTAATCGGACATAATTATTCAAAAGTAACTCATAATTCTTATTCATTATTCTAATCTTTTGTTCAGTCTACTAGGATTATATGAATACTTGAACGATGTGTAAAATCGAAGTAGCGAATTTAATTGAAATGTCATCACGAAGTTAAGCAGCACATTAGTGTTATGCCTAATTTCAGTTGCAATTATTCTGATAATTCCATTTTCAGAAATCGTGCAATGGAATAGTTCATAGGACTAGAAGGCTCTCTGAGAATATAGATGATTATGAATGAATACGCTCAGTCGATCGATCATCGGCCAAGTGAGAGGTTAGATTTTCTGACAGGTGCAACCTATGGGTTAACGTTCGACTTTAGAAGAAAAGCGATACACACTATTGGTCGGAAACCTGTTTTAATGTCCCGGGAGCAATAGACATATATTTTTGGGAAGTTATACATACACTTACGATTAGAGTTTAATTAATAAATTTTCCTGATATTTATCAACGTTCTCACACAAGCAGCAGAACGAGATCACGAATAGGAAGACCGTATGACAGTAACAATTCACATTTTACAAAACTTTGAAACTAATACATTTTAATTATCACCGTCTTAAGCTTATAGTTACATAGTGAGAAAATACAACGAAATTTTCACCATCGATACACATATTCACATACTCAACAACACACTGTTTTGAACTTTACCCAGTATCTTTGAAGTAGTTGAGAGTTAAACCGGAAACAGACGCCATGATGTCGCAGATAGCAGACATAGCTTCACCCTAAAAATTAAAACAGAAGTGACGCTGGAATAATCATTCGAGAGAATATTTATGACTTGATATTTGTTAAATTTAATGTAAACTTACAATAGACAGACGTCGTTCGAAGTGTGAATATTTAGATCCAACGCTACCATCCGATTCTAGATCAACCGCATCAAGCTCATTGCATCGAAAATGATTTCTTGCAAAGTTCTATTTGAAAGAAGGGAAGATAAAAATAAATTAATCTAGATTCTTGTCTGAATGTCAAATATACATCAAGAGGCTACATTGATCAGGTTGGTTGAAGTCATTAAAACTACTGCAATTCGACAGTCTTTATTTAAAGAAACATGTAATTTTATGTTGAAATGGAAGGGCTTTCAAGATATATTTGTAGTAATGACTGTTACGTTCAACTGCTTACCAATGTTGCATGAGAGTCATACTGAAGTGGAATTGAACGAGGTGGTAGAGACACATAAGTAATCCTTCAGTCCATATATGTGTGTGTCAATGTAAATACAGTACAAAGGTCAGTAAGGATAGTTTTTAGACAGCTTTAAATAGACAAACGAAGGATGACTGGTGATAATTTACTAAGAATGAATAAAATGTTTTAAAAGTATGGATTGGTGGTCGTTGGCCTTCTATTCTTCCTCCTCGTTCAGTGCTAGTTAGTATTGGGAGAACCACCAAGCACAGAGTATCAGTTTCCATCGTCCTTTCCGCGTCTACGCGTATTAGTTGGCTGTAAGACATAACAGTTTGTATAAGTACAATGAAGTGTGTTGATCGACATAATGATCGAACTCTGTATAAAGTGAACTGACTTGGCACTGAACTCTATGATTTGTAGATTGACCGTGAATTCCATTGTTTTTCTATACACTATTGCTAATATATGTGTTAAAGTATAATGATAATATTTGCACAAGTAAATCAATTTTTCATGATTTTCAGTTAGGACACCTGATTTCCCATCGGAAATTTACGATAGATGTGAATTGTTCATGATATTGAACCAAACATTCATTGATAACATTTATCTAATTAAGGCGAGAGACAACAAATTAATCAATTTAACAAACATTTTCTCTCTTCATATGCCAATAAAACAAGCTCTAGGAGTAAACCACAATAAAACATCACAGAATCAGTGAAATATGTGTAAATTCAATGATATACTTACGACTACACTTGGTAATGTTAATGCGACTCTCTTGTACGTCTGCTTACCGGCGACTGTATGCCATGTCCTGGACACGTATTTTATAGTATTTCTGAAAACAAGGTTCCAATAAGTAAATTGATACTGCAACGTTTGAAATGTACTTTGAAAAGACAGTCATTTGATCTGATATGTGAATAGTATTAAGATAATAAAAGGTTATATTGCTTGTATAGACTCTGTCTGTCTGTCTTACCCTGAATATCTGAACTGAAATTCTCTTATAACAATGGGTATTTGGCTTTTAATACTGCGCATGCCAAATGAGACCAGTCCCTGAACAATTTGGGAATTGAGTGGGCAATTTACATTCCATGATTCATTCATTGTCATTCATAATGGAGCCGATTCGTTGCCAATGAGCAACTGATGATCCAGTTGCTGATTGAATTAGTTACTTCATGCCAGTAATTTGCAATGGAATACTTATCTACCCTATAAACGAACTGTTCGGATGAAAAAGTTGAGCATGATTTGAGGAAACTGGAGTATTTTCAATAATTACGTAGAAAGTGTTCTATGAGTTGGATTCGAGAAAGAGTTTGGAACTCCGTTGTTTTATGTATTTTAAATAAGACAGTGTTGTGTTAACGCAAGATGTTAAGACAGAGAGTCGAGTAGTGTTTTAAATGTTCCTTACCGATCAGCTTTTAATCCTTCGTTGGCATGTGTTGGCAATTCCGGTTCACCAGTATCTTGGTTACGCTTTGTTCTAGGACTACCATCATCATGACGTAGGTAAGGAAACAACCGATAATCGAAGCCCTGTTCAATAAAATAATATTTTATTATTGATTGAAATCATTTGAACGAGTCTCACAGTGGCATTAAGAGGCATATGTCAAGTAACTTTATTTATTATTGCTATTTTCTGCTATTTTCTTAACATCCTCATCGGAAGTGAAGTAAAAATATACACTTGATCTCTTCGATAAATTTAAAGGCATTCAGTTGTTTGTTAAAATGAATTCACGAAAGTTTAACGACTGTTAGCATCCCAATGCTTTTCTTAACAAAACGTTCTGTTGCACACAATGGAACGTAACAAAAGTATGTAACTACAGCTGTGAAATTGTTCTTCAGTTTACAGGTCCTTGCAAATCACGCGGGTTACTACACCTGAGAAATTATCCGAAACTGTGAGTAAGGTGATAATGATAATTTATTAATACTGTTTCATTGTGCACATTGTGTAGTGACTTCAATGGTCATCGTTACAAGAATACAATACAGAAATAAGTAAACTGTGTAATTAATAGTTGTTTCACTCACGAATGTATGTCCTAATTCATGAATAATAACTCGTTTCAATTCGCCTGGGTTGTAATAAATATATTTCATAGCTGATAAAATTACAATTGAACCGGCGATTGGTCTTGTTTACAAACAAAAATAATACAATCGCAATTATTAGGCACGGAATAATGTAAATGATAAGTGGCATAAATCGTAATAACTGAAAAGCTTTCGAATCATTGAAAAGTTGACAGCATTTAAGGTAACTGCGGTAACAACGGAAGCTATTCTATCACAGAGCATTGGTAGTTTATAATGAAAAGTCAGAAGGAAGATGCAGCGACTTATAAATTTTGACTGAAACAGTGTTTTGAAAACAAGTAGATTTTTGTCGTGTGATTGAAAGATTCCTAAATTGTTTTCTATGTAATTAATGCAACTGTACATAGTGAATCAGAAACATGCAACTGTTCTTTTCAATCCTAGTTTTTATGTCTGATCATGATAACATCCCACCACTGGATCAGGTAATTGCATCACAACACTGTACGACGTTTCCAGTGAACCGTTCAAAAATCCTAACTCAAGACATCACTGGCATCACGAATGATTGTGATGGTTTCGCTCAAATGCTAACCATATATATAGAAGTGTTTCCTGTTTCACAAAATCGAGCCACACAATTTAGTTTCATCAACGCTGACGACGGCCGTATAAAATCAATGAGTGAATAATCCTAGCCAGTTCAGAAAATCTGTTAGTTAAAATTGTCAAGTGAAGAGCTAATAGAGAATGCAATTTTCGTTCTAGTGTACTGCGTATGACGCTGAGTTTGAAGAAGTAACATTTTTGATCTCAATGTTTAACACGATATCTGTGAGACCACGAACTAGTTTAATTTGTTGACTCACGTGTTATCTGAATTATATTGGTTTTTGAGAGGTAGTGAAGTAATCATTGCACTTGTTTGTTACGCTTGGCAGCGAATTGTCCGTATTGTCGGTAGACAATTAAGACGTTGTGATACTTGAATGATATGAAACAGGAAATTCAAGAACATCTGTGGTACTAAAATTTAGATAAGTTAGTCTCAGTATAAGATTTTAACCGAACGCAAACAATAATTTTGACACATCAACCGATCTGTTACTTACCTATTTGTGTCTAAATCCAGCTGACAAGTGCCAGCTATAGCTAACGTTGTTTGAGATCCATAATCACCCGAACGAATAAACAGAATAAAGTCACTTTTGTCTGACTTTTTGACTTGGACTTTTTTCACAACATCTTTTTCAGATGAACGACATTTCTATAGAGTCGGAACATTAGAAAGGTTTGCGTAAAGTTGTCAGAGGACAAAACGTAAAAATTGTACTCGAAATGTTTTAAGCTACTTTTGTTGTCACAACCGATCCAATGATTATTATTATGTACACTTAAAGTTGTTCGAAGCTGGAAATCAGTGTTTTGTTTTTTCAAGGGTGACCTTCATAGTACATGAAAAATCCAAATAACCGAGTTAAAATACCGATTAACAACACGACCGCTGAAGCTTCACTTCCTCAGCCAGTGTGGATTGATAGAATCTAAATTAGATAACAAATCTCTGTATCTCAACTATGTTCGATAATGAGCACAAATCACCTTTGTGTTTAGAATGACAGTCCATCATGCGACACTGTGTGGGTCTCCCAGAGTTCCCTTAACTTTTAAAGCAATTATTAACTGTTTCGCATTATTACGGAGAGAAAAATATGCAGAGTGATGTTGAAAATGATACAGTGTCTGACATGATCACTGCCCGGTAATAATTAAATTTAATGGAAAAGTTAACCACACCGAAACAGACTAGCGATAACATTGATAACTGACGAGTTTGACAGTTCGGTTATTTATCTGTATGATGCAGTGAGATTTCCTAGCGTACGTGTTTGGTAGCAAGAATTTTATCACATAAAATTCACGACACTCGGAAAGGTATCTTGCTGGATGCTAATGGGCACCAACTGGAATAACTTTCATGTTAATTCATATGCAACGTTTAGTGATCCTGTTGTGGTATATGCTAACTATGCCAACAGATAAAAGTAGCATGTAGCAGCAATCGGAAGTGGGATACCTGCCAGCACAAGATGGAATTGAAGAGAGCAGGAAGGCAAACAAGTAACAATGTAGCAGCGACAGAATTTAAAGAATCACAAAGTATGTAAAAGAAAACTTAAGGAAGATGTGCAAATAATGTATTTAATGCACGATTCTCCTATTTCACCAGTATAACTGTGTAAGCAATAAGTAGATTTACCGCATCTGGGTTTACGCTAACTACACTGTAATGTTTTGGAAATAATGTTGATCTAGACAAGATTTACTTTCCCCTGACACTTTAGAGTGTTGTGAACTGATAAAATACTCCAGAGGTAACGAATCAAGAACTTATAAACTATCTGCAATTCATATTTCGTGTGAAGTCATAACTGATGTTCTTCATAGGATTGTTGAGGATGGAATTGATTATTGCCTACACTAAATGGGATGTTTTCTGATGATGGGTGGGATGTAATCTCCACGCTTAAGGTACGACAAATATTCAATTGTTTCAACTGGGCAACTGACCTGAAGATACTTCTCGGGGATTTCAAAACCGTTACATATCGACACGTTGTTACAACCACCTACGCAGTAATGATATTGTGGCCGCATTTGTGATCGAACTCGTTCATTGCAATTGCTAATGTATTAGAGAGGAGAATAAACAACAGGAAAAGAAATGTTTATTTACCACTCTGAGTGCACATCATTGTGTAATGACACATTCAAGAAGTTGACCACCGTCGACCACAATGTTTTGTGTCATTGTTTACCTCTGAGGTGTATCCAAAACACAATAAATTTCTAACTTCTCGTTGCTTAAACAATAATGGACACAATCAGCTACCAACTGCATTGACAACCACCTGTTGCTTATATCGAGGCTGTATACTACTCAAACTTAATTCATTTCTGTCAGAGATGTTCTCGAAACACTACCTTCTTAGTTCGGGTTTTCACTGGTTGACTCTCTTCCTAGAAACCACTCGACCTCTGGATATACGGTGTGAAGAGATGTCTGCTTAATGAAAGCCCTGACACTATGCAGAGAGTTCAGAACACAGTGATTGGGAATGAAACAATTATAGGAATGGAATCCTCTCCCAACAATGCAATTTATCGCATCAGCACTGGCTTTCCTCCACACTCTGACCGATAGCACCCAGTAAACTATTTGACCGAGCTGATGACTGGTAATGTTCTTGGACGCATTATCACACTAGATGGATTGTTGATGGACAAAATATCAGTGTGTTTGTCTGCTTACTATGATGACAGTAATCTGTTGAACAATGCGCTCTGTATTGCTGTATTGCTGTTATCAGTTCAATCTAAAGTCAAAAGTATTTGTAACATCAATGTCTTAGTTTCAGTGAAATGTATAAATATGTTGTTCTAGTTTCTTTTTGTAATAGGTGTGGTAATAACCAGATTTTAGTGGTTATTCACAAACTGTACGTTCGCCAGTCATCCAGTAAATGTCTTAGCATCTTTCAAAAGGTTTCACAAAACGTGGAAAGTGTTCAACTTTACTTCGCAGATGTACGATGCATTGAAACGATTGAGACACGCGTACCGTTGGAGGAGTAGAGTGCATTTTTGTTATAATTTTGCCAACATCGCTACACTGCTAAATGTCGTTGATTTAGTCAACTTAATTGAAAGACATGTTTGACAAATCCTAAATAGCTTGTGTCATAGATGCAGATGAGTTTTATGACTTTCAATGATGTTGGCGTTGGTATAATAAAGTGATGGCCTTAATACACTACAAGTTTACTTCCGTAAGAGAACAGACAGAAGATATAGGTGGTTTGTTCTCTGAACAAACATCACATCACATATCAGTATAAATGTTTAGGATGACAGGTCAACTGCAACAAAGAGAATCCTAACAATATCACAACATGGAAATTACCCAATTTGTATGACTGTTAATAAACTAACCGTTCTATTAATATTTGTTGGGTAGAGATTCGCTTCGGTTGTATTGCTTTTGTCCAGAATATCAAAGCATCTTTGACCTGCCTCTGCAATTCACAAAAGTGTTCCAATCAAACAGAAGATGAAAACAGGTTTAGTTTTGAATACTATCGAATATTCAATGACTGTTAATCTTGGTGAGATTCTCAGTACTCCATAATAATGATTATCACAGATCAATGAGTCATACATCTTATTGGTTCTCAACTGTTTTATAATTGTTTCGGAAGGACAAAGTGGAGTGACGAAATCGGTGACCCAAATTAGTCTACCAGTATTCTGAACTGAAATGGTCACAGACGACTAGTCATTTAAACTGATGGTTTATTGATGTATAAATTAATAACCGTAATTAATACTGGATTTGAAGTGTTGTCGAATCCCAAGTTTTAACATCGTTGACTAAATTGTACAATGCACATTATTTGGTAAAGACCTGACACCTATCGTTTGAAAACACTCATAGTAATGTACTTGTGTCAAATTTTCAATGTATTGATATTTATCATACACTTATCAAATTACGGCCTTTCCTGTTACCTTAGCTTAGTGATCTGGCTTGCCTATCATGATGAACTAATTGCGCTATACTGACTGGAACAATAGTTCCTCAAGGTCCTACCATACCAGACGGGACAGGCAACTTGCTTGATGATTGGTATTCCGATCAGTGGGGTCATTTGTCAACTTTTTGTAGTTTACTCCGGGCTGGTCGTAATCGAGGCAATAATTCGATTGGGAACTCTGGTTCTACTAATGAGCCTAATACAAGACCTCGTCCTGATACAATTACATACGATCCAGCTAACGATCTACCAAAGTATGAGGCAAGTAGTAATTAGTGTTATCATTCGTGTTATGACTATTACTCATGGTCAGCGTTATAATACGTACACACGCTGTGTCGAATCGGCCAGCCGGCCTCCTTGGGTAAAACCCTAGAATATCGTACTAGTCGAGTCAGAGCTTATGACGAACTACCATCTGATTTTGCAACCTCTGGTGGCGTCGAACAAGGCTGTTCACTATTTCCATTTTTTTCTACTTCATCATAGACCTACCGCTGAAAATAGTGTTCTCGTCGACTGAATTTTAAGGAATAGATCTCCTACCAGGAGGTGCACTGATCGACTTAGAATACGCAGATGATATAGTCCTGTTTGGCGAAGACGCTGATAAAATGCAGAGTGTTTGGTAGCACTGAGCAATAGTGCCAGGACGTTTGGAACGCGTTTCTTCATATTTTGAAATTCACGTTGTTGCTTCAGGATTGGGCTGTGTGAACACATGAACTAAGGATAGGGAATGAAGTAGTCGAATGCGTCGACGACTTAAATTATCTTGGAAGTCTGATCCGCCTAAATGTGTTGGTGTCTGACGAAATCTCTTCATGGACTCAAAAGCTCGTTTGGCTTTTGCCAACTTACGTCACTTGTGGCGAAGGTTAGATATTCGTCTATCAATTCAGGGGTGATTACACTGTGCGACAGTTCGTTCTGTTTTAATTTGCGGCTGCGAAACGTGGCCAATAAGAGTAGATGATACTCGTAAGTTACTAGTATTTGACCACAGATGCATTAAAAATATTGCTGAGATGACTGGGTAAGTAATAGTGAGGTTAGGCACAGGGTATTAGGGAATGATGGTAAATTAGTTGATGAGGCTGTGAGTCTCCATCGACTGAGATGGTTGGGCCCCGTGTTACTTATGCCTAAACACCTATTACCACTACGTGCAATGCTGACTAGTGTTGTGGATGGTTGGAGGAACGTTAGGGGCGGCCAAACCAAAACATGGGATCGGTGATTGAAGTCACTAACTTCGAGTCTCAGCCATGTTGGTAGATGCAGACTACTTGGTTGGGGTCCGCATGACTATCATAACCAATGGTTGAAGACTCTATGTGACATGGCTCAAAATCGATCACAATGGCGTTGGTGTATACACTCTCTGTCTTTCCTTAAACACTGAGATTAACATTGCCTCATACCTTTCTTTCCACGAACTAATTCTTTCTTCTTGTACTATGTCAATATGCACAATGTTTTTTATATAATAATACCATTGAAGTAACTGCTTCTATGAATTCGGCGTTCACGGTCTTGTGCTTATGAGGTGTGACAACGCGGAATGATACATATGTGCGTCTGGTCCTACGTTGTAGCTGACCGACTGACTGACTGACTGAATTATATTTGCATAGTAGTAATCTACTGTTGTAGTTTTAAGAAGACAATA